CAAAGCTCTAAAAAAAAAGGGGGGTGGGGGGGGGGCATGAATTTTCCAAATTGGTTCAAGTGTTGAGTTAGTTAGGGTTTGAGATCTTATGATGTGCTTTTATAACATGGGTGCATTGTTCAAAAAAACAGACCGCCCAGCGCCTAGGCCTAGGCGGTAAAATTGGGTGGTCCGTCCCTGGGGGGCCGCCTAGGCGGTACGGAACCCACCTAGCGCCCAACATTGGGCAGCCGCCCAGGGCCTGTGCCCCTCCTAGAGGCAAAAAAAATGATTTTTTTTTTTTCGTTTTGTTTTTTGAAATATTTAAAGGTTAGGAATGATGGCTTTTAGGTTCATTTGAACCCGAAACCCACAAGAAGTCCCTTTAGACTAAAAAAAACTCAAAAAAACTACATTTCATTAGATCGATCATCGAAGTGTTTCTCAAAGTTTGGAGTTCAAGCAACCAAAGTAAGTGCAATTTTTAGATTGCTTGCTTTATTTTGAGATTCTTCTTCAGGAGTAAGTCAGAGTGGAGATCCGGGTTGGAAATATAGATATAACCCGAATCCAAATGACAAAAATTGTGTTAGATGTAATTTTTGTGAAAAAGATACGAAAGGAGGCATAAACCAGTTTAAGAAACATCTTGTCAGTATTAAGGGGGATGTTGCCCCTTGTAAAAATATTCCTGAAGCTGTCAGAGAGGAAATTAAGCAACTTTTAAGTTGTGTTAAACAAAAACAAGAAAAAAATCCTTGTCATAGATCTATTTTTTCTACTTCTAAAAAAAGTCATCCGGGTTGGAAGTATGGATATAACCCAAAACTAAATGATAAAAATTGTATAAGGTGTAATTTTTGTGAAAAATATACCAATGGGGGTATTAGCCGATTCAAAAAACACCTTACTAGTGTTAGAGGTAATGTTGTTTCTTGTACAAAGGTTCCTAAAGCAGTTCGAGATGATATTAGACATCTTTTGAATTTTGAAGAACTAAAAAGGATGAAAATATTAAGCCTTGTTCTATGGAAGTATCTTCTCCAGCTTTTAGTCGTCGGAGTGGTGATCCAGGTTGGAAGTATGGTTATATCCCGAATCCAAGTGATAAAAATCGTATTAAATGTAATTATTGTGGAAAGGATACTAATGGGGGCATTTATCGGTTTAAAAAACACCTTGCCGGTATTACTGGGGATGTTGCCCTATGTAAAAATGTTCTTGAGGCTACCAAGGAGGAAATTATACAATATTTGAGTTCAGAGAAGCACAAAAAGAAGGTTACAGTAGCCAAGACTCCTAGGCCCTCATCTGCACAGACTACACATACTAGTAAGAGGAAGGTAGAAGAAGAGGAGGAGGAAGAGGCAGATTAAGAAGAAACAGAGGAGGACAAGCGTTATATTGAAGAGGGAGATGACTCTGATGATGATGGCCTGGACACTAATGCATATGATGAGGCTTGCGCTATTGATATTCCTTCTGATGATGATGATTGAAGACTCTTGCCTCTTGGTATTGAGTGTTGAGTGTTGAGTCTGTTGACTGTTGTGTAACTTGTGTTGGGTGTTCACTTTTATATCCCTTGTGTATGGTTTTACAGTTTACTATTTTAACAATATGGATTATCAAAATTCTCTTCTTGACTTCTATTTTTCTTTTTTCTTTTTTTTCAAGTTGGATTGTTGGAATATGATATATTGGGATTTTTTCTTTTTTGTCAATTGGGCAGCTACCCAGGTTTTGGGCATCCGCCTAGGCGCTAGGCGGCCTGGACCCCCCAGACCGCTTAGGATCCGCGTAGCGCTTTTTGATACACTGCATGGGTGTAACCTTGAATTCAATGAACACCATGCACAAATCCAAAGGCACATGGGAGGCTAATATACTTAGCCACCCATCCCCTTCCAACCACTAGGATGAAGAGATGGGACTAACCCTAAGTTATCATTCACACTAACCCCAAGTTATGCCACTTTACCACTTTGTCTTTGACCCATGTTTTTATTCCAATTGAATCCAATATGCTCTTACAAAAACACCCTTAGTTTTTTTTAAATAATGTATTAGAGCAGAGAACTACCAAGGATAATGAGCAAAGAAGTAATTGGCAAAGCTCACACATGTGAAGAGATTCTACCTTATACATCTAAAATTTCAAACCAATCTATTCAAAGATAATGTCACCTTTACACGTGTGTGAAGATATTTTTCAACTCAAATTTGAAAATCAATTTTCTCTTTAATATTATTAAATAATTGAATTAAACTTCACACATGCCATGTATGGCCTATGTGTGAGTTAATTAAAATATGTGATAAAAAAGGGCCCTTTAGTTATAACACTATATAATAAAATATAACAATATATAACAAGACACCATAACACAACCCCTTATAAAACAAACAATCAAATGTCAAATTGTTGCCCCTGCCTAGGGATCAACGCCCAGCTGGGTAGTGGGGTACCACGTGGCAGCCCTATGCCCACTCAGATGCCACGTGGCACTACCAGATCTGGACTAAAGTAGAATTTGAGCCAAACAACTTGAAAAACCTCATTTTTGAGCAAATAAAAATTCTGAAAAATTCTTTAAAAATCACAATAAACATTTAAAGTATATGCGAGCAATTATTAGGTTTTTAATTACAAAATCGGACAAAAGGTATAGTGAGATCTCAGGCTTATAATTTTAGGTATCAGAGTACTCCATTGGGCTAGTCCGAATGATGTTCTGCCGAGTCTCAGATTGACCCAATGGACCTATGTTCCACGGTCTAAAGCAGAAACACATATTGGCCGCATCAAAGCCGTTGAGCTCGAACTTTGATCATCCGACTCTCAATGGATTACAGGTGTGTACCCCTATGGGACATGATCTAACTCAATTATAGGGTCCTCTCAAAGCACATGTGCACCAGCTCTTCCAAATTCGGATAATGCATTTGGAAGAGTGGCTCATCATATGAAACAAAGATGCACATGTCATGGAATGATCTCGTGTTAGGATACAGACTTATGTCCAATAAGTCTTGACCATTCTATACAGGGCGAATACTCAATAAGTACTCGGACTCTATTTTTATCATTTGGATTCTCCAAGCCCTGATCAATCGCAGCTAAACATGAGGCTAACCTATAAAATCCTGGCTAGGAGGTGACCCTTACACCTCTTTGAGAAATTGCTTTCTCAACACGTGAACTCTCAATGCTTAATGCGTACTCGGGGTAAAAAAATCTGGGCCCCATTTCGCAAGGCGCTCAGATTTCAATCTCTCAATCACTCCCACTAAATGAGAGACTACTGGAATTTAGGCCTTGAAAGGCCATATTTCCAACATGAGGATATCTCCTTGCTTGGAAAAATAAAAAGACTTACTAAGGACTTAGCCGATATTATTCTCACAGATGAATTTGGAAAAGGTCAAGACTAATGTTATGCTAACAATATTTTGTGCACAAGAATCTTTCGACCATCTTGCAGATTCTCTAGGATGGCCCTAGGAAGAGAATAAAAAAAGCTAAAAGAAAACAGGAGAAAGAGATAAACAAAACTATTTCTAAAGCATGACAGGTATAGTAACTATTTCTAAACAAAACTATTTAAAAAGCATGACAGGTGGCTTCGGGAATCGTCCTAGAGCAAGTGGCTGGTGAGGTGCATAGTTATCCTTAAGGATCTTCTTTCTTTTTGAACAGGTGGCATGACAGGTAGCTCTAACATCTTCAAAACGGATTTTTTAAGTGGTATGGGAATCTTCGAGTAGTGGCATAGTTCTTCACCAAATGGTAGGGCAGTACCTTCATGGCTTTTATTTTTTATTTTTTAAACAGGTGTGATAAGTGGTAGCATCCTTTCTAACAGAAAGCTTGAATAGGTGGCAGGGTAGGCTGAGATCAGATAATCTTTTGCTGAAGTCATCTGGCTGAGAAATATCTCAGCTTCTATTCTTTAAGAGTAATTAAGGCTGATAAGCTTTTTTAGGGCTGATAAGCAATTTTTTCATACATAAGCCTGAGTCCAGTCGTCACCCTGACTCCAGTGTTCAGAGCTGGACACCTTGTCTTCCGTTTCTGGGTCCTCCATGTCTTCATCAAGATCTATATTGCTCAATATTGTGCTTCTCATACCATCTTCCTTCTATTATTTTGGCCAAAATAGGAGGATCTGTTTCATTATCAATTTCAAACTTCCATTTGATTATCCGTGAGATATGTTTCTTCATTATAAAATCAGCCATTGACTTATCATTGTATCCCACTTTCACATAAAAGTGATCTAAGAGTCTTCTTGGTAAAATTTCTCATTTCACCCCAAATGTTTCCACCAAATTGAGAACCAATTCGGGAAAGATTCTTGGGCGCAACTTTCACAACTCCAAATCATCTATGTGTGGGTATAACCCCAATTTTGGTAATATAAGACAGTATTCCAGGCATCCATATAATCAAAATAATTCATTTTTAAATATGCTGAAAAAAATAATCTATTAGAATTTTCTCCTTCTATAAGATCTTTCCAGAAATACATTGGGTGTAACTGGCATTAAACTCTTCGGGCGATAATATTTTTATTATTCAGAGCTTTGAATAAGCAATTTCTGTCATAGATCTGTATTCATGCTTTATAGAAGCACTATTAGTTTGAATCAGAATTTTCTCATAATATTCTCCATCTTTTTTAAAGGTTTTGACTGGAAAATAAGCCTTTCGTCCCATGTATTTTTTGGCAAGTTCAATAGGGGTTATTGACGGATCTTTGCCTTCGACTGTTAAGACTTTTTGAAGAGAGTTATTTTCTGGTCATGAGAGGAATGTCCCATGGTTGCTCGCTTATCAGCATATTCTGTAGCCTTTCCCTTAGGGTTGATCCAAGCCAATTATGCAAGAATTCACGAGTTAGATTTGTAAGTAGTGATTTTGCGAATTATTTTTTAATATTTTTAATTAGGTGCGACTTGATGAGAAGAATAAACGTCTAAAATTTCAAGTGATTTGGATTTGTAAAATAAGAAATAAAAATTCAAATACGAAATGAGGTTATAACCATCAGATTGGCCCAGATTGATTCAATCTGGGCCGTTGGCTGACACTGTAATAGCTGTGAAATGTCACTAGACGGGTTGCTATCCTGAATTATCTTTATTAGTTTATTATGATATATGTTTATAAATGAGGTTATTTTATGTTCATTGCAATGAGTTAGTTTCTCTTCCTCGCTTGTTTTTTTGCACTCTCTTCCATCTACTTCTTACATATGTCAAACTCTTATCCCCTCTTTGTCATCTCTTTATATCACCATGCAATTTTTTGTAAGTTTGAAATCAAAATTTTGTTTTACTTATAATTTTTCGCTATATCCAACATTTTAGAATTAACAAACTAATGGCCCTTGGCTGGTTTAAATTTTAGTAGGTTTCTCCTTTTCTCTCTTCAATTAGAGCACTGCCTCCTTCACTTAGCACTAACATGCTCATCTGCATCTGTTAGAATTAACAAACTGATGATCCTGTTGGTCTAAATTTTAGAGTAGGGGTTTCTTAAGTTTCTGGTACTCCAATGAAATTATATTTATGCATGCTTTGTCAACATCTTGTATATCTTTTGGTTCAACATCAGCCCAACTTCCATAGGTTTCTTTCCTGATATTTTCAGTTTTAATATTAGAGACACCAGTATCCTCATCATCATGCTTCTCAATTCCAAGATTGACATCTCATTTGTTTATGTTTACAATTAGAGCATGTTTGTTTGGGGGAAGGATTGTCTCCAGAAGACAAACTTTCTCCATTACTTTAGCATGGAAGTGCTAAAGTACATCCTACACACGAGTTCTTCCTCCAAAATGGTAACAATTTTCGACGGGGTGCGCAATCCCTACCTTTCTTCCTTGTCACTCAACTTTTTTTCCCTGCCATATGAGAGCTAAAACCAGGTACCCCGATCTTTCTCCCTCGCCAGGTGAGAACTAAAACCAGGTACCCCAACCTTTCTTCCTCGCCAGGTGAGAGCTAAAACCAGGTACCTCCCCTCCTCTTTTCTCTCTATCTCTCCCGTGTTCTCTCTGTCTGCTCTCTCTCTCTCTTCTCATTTCTCCCTCTCTCTCCATCTTGGTTATCTCTCCTCTCTCCCCTATTCTCTATGCGCTCTTTCCCTTTGTCTCTCCCTCTCTCTCTATCTCGGTTATCTCTTTTCTCTCTCCCTTGTTCTCTCTGCACTCTCTATCTCTTTACCTCTCTCCCTCTCTCTCTATCTCTGTTTTTTCTTCTTTTTCATCTGCTCTCCTCTCCCTCTCCCCTGTTCTCCCTCACAGAGACCTAAGGGAGAAAGATCTAGAGAGAAAAAGTGAGAGAGAGAGGGGGTTTGGCCTCATAAAGGGTATTCACATTGTGGGCTTCTTGATTGCATGATCTGATAGCAGGGACAGAGATGTTTACATTTAGGGTTGAATGGAGTTGCATAAAGAGGAGATGATCTTCTTTTGTGAGGTGAAGAGGTGGTGAAAGAGAGAGAGAATGATGAGAGAGGGGGTTTGGCCTCATAAAGGGTATTCACATTGTGGGCTTCTTGATTGCATGATCTGATAGCAGGGACAGAGATGTTTACATTTAGGGTTGAATGGAGTTGCATAAAGAGGAGATGATCTTCTTTTGTGAGGTGAAGAGGTGGTGAAAGAGAGAGAGAATGATGCATTTAGTGGCCCACATAGGTTGGCCTCAGCAGCGGTATGAAGAAGGTTGTTGCATGGTTGCAGGATAACTTCCCCTCTCATTTATCTCTATTATGTAGCTTTTTTCTCCCTCTTTGCCTTCTTTTTTTCTATCCTTTTTAAGTGCTATGAATGCGGAAGGATGGGAATGTGGGTCGATGGTTTTGATCATCGCTTTACTCTCATGTTGTCATAGCTGATGCTGACTTTGTTGTATTCTTCTCATCTATCATGGAAGGCAATTACTTGGCATTGAGAACATTGCCCTGAATCTGTTGCTACTACGGGTTTAGAAGGCATTTTCTTGTGTTTATTCATTTGTTCCTGTTGGTTGTTTTCATATGATCTTTCCATCTCTATTTCACTCCATTCTTGCTCTTCTTCCTTAATGTTGATGGTTTTGATTTGGTTTGAGAGAAATTATGTGGGGTCTTCCTTTTGAGATGCTATAATTTAACATCATTATATGATGGGAAAATCCCTCATGAGCTTTCATCATCTAGTCTTACATGGACAATATGTTGCTTATATTTAGTGATCTAATGCTACAAGAACAGTATGGTGATGGCTTGTCAATTTCTAGATCATTAATGTGCCATCGTTTTGAAATGGGTATGTATCTAATGCAAATATTTTATATCCTCCTCTCAATATTTTAAGATATGAAAGGTAAACACTCCTTTGCCTACCTGTTGTTTCCTGAAGCTATTGTCTCTATTGGATTGTGATTCATTTTATATCTGAATAAGAACCCAAGACCTTTCTATGACCTTTCTGAATCAACTAAATGAAGTGTTCCATTGTGGTTACTATTGAATTGTGCTCACTAAGTGCATTTATTTTCTCCTGGATTTCCTTTTATTAGGAGGCGATTTGGCCTCTGATGTTTTTCTTATTGCCATATTGTAAATGTCTTGTCCTAAAATAAGTTAACGTATTAAATGTATGAGATCACTGTTTTATGTACTATTTTCATGAATAATGTTGTCTTTTTTAAAAAAATAATTTTCATCACCAATACCAATGAGGAGGTCACAGTTAGACCCAAGATCCACCTAACAATGCATAACTTCAATCTCCTATCACAATTGTCATTAATATCTGTGAAGTGCACACACAATGCAACAACATTAAGGAGAACCGTAGTTCCACAAAGTTTAAGGTTTCAGACAAGTGCCACAAAGCTATGGTTTATTCATAGATATAATCTTGCTGGGTCTTCAGGGTAGTTTGAGTGAATGATCAAATTTTCAAAAAATCTTCCAAATTTTTTATGGCTAAATAATGCAATATGATTTGCCATAAAAAAGAAAAAGTTGATTCATATATAAAAGTGGAGAAATGTTATTTCTCCTTCGTAAACAGGTATAACAGATCCATAAGGAAGCCAGATCCTACTAGATGCCCTGACCAGCCATTCCATTATAGATTAAATAAATTTTTATTGGGTATTTAGTTGATATTATCAACATGGAAGAATTTCAAATGTATTGTGGATTTGAAACCTTATTGAGCTAAACCAAAATCTGCCTCATCTACATGGATTGCAACACCACCCATAAGGATAATATAAGTTAAATTTATTTTATTTTTTTGAATGAATGTTACCTCACCCACAAGGATAGTGTTCTATCAAGAAAACTGGCTGAATTGCACAAGTATTTCTTTTTCACATGAAATCAAAGTTTTCAACTAGAAATAAGGGTTAACAACTTTCCGAATATAGCATCTAGCTCAAATGTATCTAATCAAACAAATCCAAGTTTCCATCTCCCCCTTCCTCCCCTGATCACCTTCATACTCTTACATTTCTCATCCCTTTCATCTTCCAAGGAATATACCCTAAAAAAATTGGAAAGAATGGAAATGGAACTAAATTCATCTGAATGAGACGCAAAGTAGAATAAAGAGAAAAACACCATTGACCTCGACAGTGGATTTCACTCATGGCTCTCTTTCAGTCAGCAGACTACCATTTCCAATTGCCACTTAACAGTAAGCATGCTGACAACATTCAATGGTGATCTAGTCTTTACAGAAGTTCACGTTATACTGTGTATCAACTTTTTTCCTTTGCTTTTCTCGCAAAGGGAAATTTTGTCCAATTTTTTCCCTTCATCCTCCAAAGTCGTTAGTTTGTGCCATACTAGTAGTTAGATTTTTTTTAGGTGTATGATGTGGTTACTAGAGTTCAACAACATAGATTTTCAAAAACTATCATTGATAGGGCGTGGATCAAAGTGCAATTGATCTTAAAGGGTTTTTCCCTCTGTCTCTCAGATCTAATGTTAATCATGGATCAGCATTTGAATTATAGTTGATAAATGTTGAGAAACAAAACAGAAAAGAAAAGGATCAGGCTAGTTTGATGGTGGTTCATTATATACAAAATCCACCTTGGTCTCACTGATTTGCAACATCAATTGCCTAATCATATTAACGTAGCTTGGGTTTCTTCAAATTTTTTATTTCCAATAACTATTCATCCTCGAGTAAAAGCAAACTTTCAGCCCTATATTATGTTTCACGAACTTTCAATAGAATACTTCTAGTTGGACAGATAATTATCAAGTAGGAAGGATATCTATAAGCATGAAAAACAACCCAAGTACAACCCAAAAAAGTAAACGAAAAAATATATACACAAGATAAAAAGAGAAAGAAAGATATAGGAAAAGCAAGATAAAAGGTCAGGGAGAAATAATCCCCTGTCAAGAAGTGGGAGCCTCTTCGAATTGCATATTTTTGTTACTTAATTTGGTGCAAAAAAGAGGCAAATTATTTGTAGAATATGACTTGAATCTGGTTTCCACTATCAACATAAAAATAAACCAAGTGCACATTAACTGAAAATAGCACTTGCTCAGAAGAGTTTAAGAAAATGACTTCCACCAAGAGAGTCCAAAAATAGTTTGGCTAGTTACTTCAAGATGTCATCTATGATAAGGCAAAGCCCAACCACTCTCCTATTCTTTGTGGGAAAAACATTGTTCATTTTTATGGCTTAATCTAATAAAGCCAAAAGAATACAACGGAGTATCAGCACAATTGTACAACTGGTAAGTAGAAAGTACAAACTGAAAAGGAGCACCCAACTCCTTCCTTTAACACCTTATCACCACCACAAAGCACATCACAGTCAAAGCCGACAAAACTCGATTATTGCCACGAAGTGATCAACTCTCAAGGTGGATTCACACTTCATTGTTATCCATGCTCCATTTAAAGATAAGCTTTCTATGTGACCCCACCCGCATATATGGTATATGTGACTCTTGCTAGTCTCAACTGTCATATCTGAATAAATGGCTGAAATGCTGGTCTCAACCGTCAGATCTGAATAAATGGCTGAAATGGCTTGAGTTACAATATCAAAAGCTAGCTCTTAACTATCATATCTTGATCATTTGCTCATAGTTTTTTATTTTTAAATTTTATTCTACAAATAATTTTGAAGCAAAAATTGAGTTGTGTATAGATCTAATTGGGGCAAACATGATAACAAAGAAAAAAAAAATTGATGATAAAAAATTACCAAAATACCCTTAAAATTGCATGGGCATTTTGGTCACTTATTTTTATTACAGAAAATATTTTTTTATTTTTCCAAGTTCGCCTTAATTTTATGATGGGACACCCAAAATTTCATCCAAAAATGTTATGTGGAAATAAAATGAAAAATAAAACAGTGTTTGTCGTGACATTGTGGTCTAAACAATCATAGCCGTTTGATCTGAATCAAACGGATGAGAAGTGGAGGTCACATATGATTTATATTGTTGGGGTCATGTAGAAACATTTCCCCAATTTAAATGTATAGTAGGTAAGTCTTATGTGGCCATTTATGAGGAAATGGAAAGTGCGATTAAACAAATTCAGAAGCTGATTCCAAATATTTTATCTTGACTACTACAATTCCAAACCTTTTTCAGAAATGACTGTGGATATCTAATATAATCACGACTCCAAAATGAGAAATTTTAGTATGACGTGTTTCATCCGATAGCTTCCAAAAGTTACAAATTTAATCTCACTGACAAACACTGGAAACTAACTATCCTCTTGGTCATGAAGAACCCAAACAACAGTTCAGATTTGATATCTGCGACAGCAAATACAGCAATAGTAAAATTCGCAGAAATTGTGGCAAACAAGCAATTCGAAATTCAGAATTCAAGACCGTGCTCCCGAGCGGCATCAGCAAGCGCTTCTACCCGACCATGGTAAGGAAAACCTCCCCGATCAAAAGCCACTTTTGTGATCCCCTTTTCTAAACAAGCTTTGGCAATGGCTTCGCCAATTTTTTTTGCAACTTCCTGTTGCAAGAAATGAGAAAAGTTCAATGCTTTTCGCTAAAAGACTCAAAACAAAGCACATAAAAGAAACAGAAGAACTGAAAAATCCCAAATGCACATTGAAGGTATATTTGATAATTAAGATATTTTAATATTTTATAACATTCAAATTTTTATAACTAATAAGCTAGAAAATGTGTTTGATAACACCAAACCCCAACTAGAAAAATTTGAATCATCATCATCATAGCTTTTTTCCAATTAATTAAGATCGTCCACACAAATTCCAATCCGCCATTCAGGATTCATGACACTTTTTGGCAAAATTCTGCCATTCTAGATTCATGACACTTTTTGGCAAAATTCCGTCATTCAGGATTCATGACACTTTCTGGCAAAATTTTATGTTTGACTGCTTACTTAACACAACCCAACCTTTTTACTCGGGCATGGGACGGGTTAAGAGAGAGTTTAAAGTCATCACCTTTTCTTAGACCAACTAGAAAATTTTGAAGAGGACCCTTAAATCACAATACTTCAAAAAACAAGTTCCACTTGAATTGTAAACGGTACAGAGAAACGTTAACTCTGTCATGCAATGTCGTGAGATTGGATCTTCACATCTCTCACCCTGCCAAAGCTTTTATCCTATGTCATCAGAGACTTCCTCCATTCTCTCTAAAACCTCTCAAAATGCCACTCTAGTCTGGCCAAAGTTTGCCCATGTTTTCTCTCTCTCTCTCTCAGCACACACATGCACACGCACGGCCCTTTAGCAGAAAGTCACATGGAGCTCTAAATACTCATTGCCCTTGTAAAGGACCATGTAATCATGGATCACCCATTACCATTATAAGGGCTCCAAACTCTTTAGAGCCCTTTAGCCTCACATGGAGCTCTAAATACTCAGTGCCCTTGTAGCTTTTAAGGACCATGTAAGCGTGGATCACCCATCACCATTATGAGGGCTCCAAATGGGCAGCCCCAAATAAGTAAAAGGGTTATATTGCAATCTCTGCTTGAATCATCTCTTACCCTATGTCAATTTGGGGCTTCTTTCAATGACGGTACGTTTCTAGGTTGTTATCCTTTAACTTGGGGTATGATTACAAGTGTGCTCGAATTTGGAAAATCACTTGCAATTTATGGGTTTTCTGTCACCTTATTTTTGTGAGATTTTGTCAATTGTGCCTCTCATGGTGGAATTTTGCAGGTTCTCATGATTTAGCGTTGTTTGCGGTAAGTGCCATGTTCTCATCAGATTGTAACCTTTGTTTGAGATTAAAAACCTTCACTTTGAGCTAGAACACTTGTTTCTAGTTGATTGCCGCTCCTCTTGAGTGGCGTCAAGATCTGCCTAGAGATATGTGACATCACGCTCAAGTTGAACATTGTCATACAGGACAGCATTTTGAGAGGCTAGTTGCCTCTTCCTGTGCTTATTCAGCAGCTGCTAACTTCTCTCTAAACACCTCTCACTTAATTTTTCTCCATTTCGTGTCAACTCTTTATAACGCATAAGCTTTTTGCAATGGCTTCTCTGCTTGTCAATGCAGCAGATAGTTGGCCCTCAAGCATACCGTTCCTTTTCTTTGCAAAGCAACAAGCTTACTTTCACACTCTTAGTGAGTATTTGCAGCGAAACAGTATCCATATCCAATATACTGAATGTATCACCATTCTTTGATTGTGAATTTACACTCATTTTACTATGGAGGTTTCTGGAATTCTCATGTTCTAATGCCCCAATCATCTTTAGGCCATTGTTTAGTGGCCAGAGTAGCAGCCCGATTCTGGTTATTTTGGTCTTATTTTCAGCAGCATACTTGTAAATATCCTAAGCAGAGTCTATACATTCCAAGTTTTGTTGATGAAATTAAAGGATCAATAGCTAAAAGCATGCCAACAGATCTTAAAAAGAACCACCACAAAGAATTGATTATTTGATGTAGTCAGTATATTTTGAAAAGAATTTCATGGAGACGATTCTCTGTTTGATGCTCTCTATAGAAAGAGAGACTACAAGTTAGGAATAGAAAAAGATTCCTAAATTCTGATTTTGTGAGCCAAATAGTCAAAAAGGCTTGTGGTGTTTGAATCCACAGAACTGCATTGCGAGGAGCCTAATGATCTAAACCATGTTGGTGGGGAGCCTAACAATGTAAGCAATGTTAGAGGAAATGCAATGTTAGAGGAAAGGTGATACTTTGCTAGAATGAAAAGGTTCATTATATAAACTCTAGTTTTGTAAATTTGTGCATTTACTAGTGTATGACCAATTTGTAGTTTTGAATCTTTTGATGAATGGGTGTCAATCATTTAGAGAGAGAGAGATAGCAAGCTAGATAAAAATTCAACATGTGCCTTAAAGGAAAAAAAATCAGTAAATACTGCAAAGAGCCAAAAATTTCAAATTTATGAAAATTCTAAATACACAAGTTGCTTATCCAAACAGGCACGAAAGAAACAAAAATTTGGATGATATATAATCTAAATATATGGAAAGCAAGTAATACCTTTAATCAGGTTTCTAAAATTTTAAACATTGAAAAATTGGTTTGGTCAAACATTCCTCAAAGTAATAAAAAGGTAAAAAAAAGAAGCATAAAATATGCTCTAAAAAAACTACTTAAGATATCCATAATCACTAAAAGATTGAGATTCTATAACAAAGCACAGCAAGGAAACAGAAAGTTGGAAAACATCCATCGCATGCCCTAGAAATCATAAATGGAGAAAAACTACAAAACTGTAAAAAGATATTCTCTATACATTAATCCACATATCTACATACAAGAATGAATGAAAGGCTAAAGCCCTTTTTTAAAAAATGTGATAAACAGAATAAAACATGAAAGATTTTAACGCAATCTAGATCAGTGTTCAAGGACTCGGCTGAGTCCAAGTCCGAGGCCACTCGGACTGGGCAAGTTACTCAGGCGGCTATGTCCCTAGGCGAGGATGGGTGTACACACTCATACTCACCAAGCTCTTGATTTCTTCAACATTTTGCAACCAAAATTGCTGATTTTTTGTTCTATTTGAAGCTTATTTGATCCTCTACATGCTCCAAACAGCAATTTCAGGGATCAAAGCTGTGCTTTTGAGAAATCTGCCCTGAAATATATCAGTTTCTAGAGACAAGTATCAAATCTTCAACAACTGATAACCAATAACCAAATTTGTTGAAATTTGATTTTTTTTTTAAGGTTATTTGATCCTCTGCAAGATACCCATTGTGGAATGAAAGCTCTGTTTTTTTTTTTTTTGGGAAAGATTATGCCCCAAAATATGTTGGTTTTTTTTTGAAAATTTCCAGTTTTGTTTGAAACCCTACCCAATCTGCCAAGCCCTTAATTTCTTCCTTGTTTTGCAACCAAATTTGTTGAAGTTTGGTTCTGTTTGAAGTTGATTTGATCCTCTACAAGATCCCCATAGAAATTTGTGGAATCAAAATTTTGGGAGATATACCTAAAATTTCTCTGTATTTTTTTATTTTTCAATTTAGCTCCACCAGGGTCCGAGTCCCGAGCCCCGAATTTTCAAACCTTGGTCTAGATAAGTCACCACAGAAAAAGAAAACCAGACACACTCCAATGTCTACCAAAAAAAAAACTTTACAAAAGCTAAAAAACGAATATACCAAAATAAACTGATAAGCAAATCAACAACAAATACAATCCAAATAACGAGAATTCGAACAATATATAGGGAAGAAAATATGAAGAGAAGAACAAAGCGGCCCAACAAAAGTAAAAAACCCAAGCAATTTTAATTTATTAAACTCACAATAGTGGGTCCTGAAGAGAAGTCTATTTCATCCCTGAGTGGTTTCTGCATTGTCGAAGCAGCGGCAAGTGTGTGCATCTTTGAGTCATCAATAACCTGGACGTACATATGCTTGTTCGACCGGAAGACGCATAGTCTTGGCCTCTCAGGGCTGCCCTCTACCTTATTATCCAGAAACACAAAGATTACAAAACCAGCAATTGTATCATTCAACGAAAAAAACCAAAAAATGAACATTTGTTGCATTGTACTTGAATGAGAGAGACAGAGAGGGAGAGAGAGAAAATCCATAGGAAAGAGGGGTAAATTTCAAACATCTGGTTTTTCTTGTGAGTTACATAGAGAGACGAATAGTTGTGGAGGACGGAGAGGTAAATTATGCTCTTACTGGATAAAGATCTAGAGAGAAGAAAACAAAACCTGCATGAAGTGCGTTCTAGAGAGAACACAAAACCCAGAAACCCCTCATTAGGAGAAAATAGAAAAAAAAAAAATTGAATGCCTTCTAGAGAGAGAAAGAGAGATTCAAAATTCTAGAGAGAGAAAGAGAGATTCAAAATTCAGATGATGGTGCAGGTGCAAAGAGAAGAACACTACCTTCTTTCTGATGCGCTCATGGCGAGCCACCCTATTCTCCCTTCGCGTTGCGGCCTTCGCATCAATTCTAAGCAATGGGGTTCTCTTTAGAGCGAACAATGGGGTTCTCTTTAGAGAGAGAGAGTGAGAAGAAGATGAAGGTGAGGTTGTGAAGAGGAAGGAGAGAGAAGAAGAGGATGCCATGGTCGCCATGGATGACTACTGGTTTTACAGTGGGAGTGTGACCCAACCCTATCCTTTAATGGAACAAAATCAAACTGCCGTTTGGCCGGACTATTTAATAAGTCCATTCACTAGCCCAATAAGTCCGTTTGTCATCACAATATCATACATATTGTAATAATCTAATTGTTTGAATTTGATACTCGGGAAAGATTATTTTTATTATTATTATCATTTTTATACTATTTCAAAAGAGTGTTAAATCCATATTGTCAAGAAACAAGTAGGTGTTCCATCTAAGAACAATTAAAACTAATCGTCCAAATGTTTTCTAACTAAAATTATTATTTTTAATTTTTAAAATTTATTTGTCTTTTCATATTAATGATCTCCAAGTTAGATATTAAGTCTTAAAACAATCTTAAAAATAGATTTATTAAGAGGTCAGCATTTCTACATACGTGGGCTTGACCGCTTCTCAAAACTAGATTTATTAAGAGGCCGGCATTTCTACGTTTGACCGTATAAAAATCGAGTCCTTAAATAAATTGTGTGGAAACACCATAAATTTATTTCCATAATTAAGGATACATCATTATTTATACTATTTATACTACATTATTAAGCAAGAGTAAAATGGTGGAAACATGTCGCATAAATATAAAAAAAACCATAACACTATAGAGGTTACAAAGTACTTGATTTATTTTTAAGTCACAATCTCATCTTTAGGGGTTGAGGGAGAGAGATTTATTTTTAAAGAAGAGATAGACTTGGAGAGGATATCGATTAGAGAAAGAAAACGTACAGAGGAAATTAGGAGAGAAAGTGACAGAGAGAAAATCATGGAAATAGATTGGCTTCAATCTTAGTTCCCATATTAAGGGAGGGAAGGAGCGAATCCTTTTATAAAAAATTTATGTAGGAGAAAGACGTATTTTTAAGGAAGAGATACAGTTTGGAGACGATATTGATTAGAGTATGAGACGATATTGATTAGAGTATGAAAACGTAGACAGGAAATTAATGAGAAAGTGACAGAGAGAAAATCATGGAGATAGATTGGCTTCCATCTTCATTCTCCATTCATAAAGAGGGAGGGAGAGGATCCGTTTTTTAGGAATTAAAGAGGGAGGGAGAGGATCCATTTTTTAGGAAATTTATGTATTTATAGTAAGGAAAGGAAAGTGAATTGGGGGAGAGAGACCTTTATAAATAGAGGCACATGAGAGCCAAAATGATAGGGAGATACAATCAATTAAAATCTAAATAAATATCTTATAGTAGATCGGGTGGAAATTACATAATATATAGTAAGAGATTAATTGAGAGGCGTGAGAGAAAATGGTTGAGAGAAGCATGAGAGACCTCTTCCATCATATATATATATATATATATATATGATGCCGTAAAAATGGTTAAAATCAATTAGATTTATAAACATATGAAAATCTTGAAAATAGACGGTATAGATAATATGTTGCAAAATACATTATTTTTTAAACTTAAAATATTTTTATTTTTCATGGTCAAACATCTCGATGTCGAATTGGTTTTCCAACATCAAAGCTATCTTTTCCGATAGATTTTTGAAGTGCACCAGTAGATATAGAGGTAAGGTTGTAACCTTATATAAACCTATTCCTTATATCAAAGATATATAATTTTGTAATGTACAGTTCCAAAACAAGAAACACTTCTCCCAATGCAACTTTTTTGGGGTTTGGTTTGTACTAGTTGAATTATTGCACGTATGCAATTCCTTATAGTAGATTGGCTAAATATTTAATGATAAAAAATATTTATTAATAAAAAAATTGATAAATCATAAATTACCTTTTAGATAATAATTTTTTTTAACTACACATCATTTTATGAAAATAAATTCTACTCTTGGTTGAAATTTATTAATAAAAAATTTGATAAATCATAAATCACCTTTTAGATAATAATTTTTTTTTAATTACATATCATTTTTATTAAAATAAAGTTTACTAAAACCTTTGTTTTTTAAATTCATGTTTTAAGATATTCATTCTCAACAAATTACATAATAATATGAATTATGTTAAAGTTATATAATAAAAATTTAAATAAATAAACAAAATTTTTGACATACTTTAAAGTCCTTTAGAATTGTTTATAGCATCATTAAGCATAAGGAATTCAATATCAATACCTGCACAATAATAAATAAATAATAAATAAATAAAAACACTTATGAGAATAAATAAATCAGTAAAAAAAAAAAACTAATTAAAATATCCAACACAAATAAATAAATATAACAGTCGTCCTCATTAAGGGGAGTGTAATCTTCAGGATCTTCACTTTGGGTGGACATGTTGTCATTAGTAACTTCGAGGGCTTCCCAGAGTTTGAGTTTAAGATCTTCTTTGGTCATGGTTGGGTTTTGCTGCTGAAGGAGTACCACATAGTGGAAAATATCCATTTGTGGAGGTGGTGGGGAAGAGATAAACTTCATTTTGATTTTATTAGGAGATAAATAATCATTCTTGTAACTGTCCCACCACTTAATGGAGATTTGGCGGTGTAATGTAGGGAGATAATCATATCGGTCCATATCGTCCAATGAGATTTGGTATTCCCATTTTAAGATCTATGGGATCTGATAAAGGGCCATAAAATATAAATGAAAGATTCTTTTTAAACTTTGCTTATTAAAATCAGATAATTTTCTCTAAGATATTTGGTTTATAATAGTTGCATTGGCAATTTTCTTTTTCTTTGTCTGGGTCATCTCCAGAATCAGAATCTGAATTAGAGCTACTGAAAATGATATCTTCATCATTGATTTCTCCAATTAGCATTTTTTCTTCTGACTCTGAAAAGTCTGAAGTTTCATTTTCAATCTGGAGTATCTCAAATATTTGCCTTTTAATATGGCCATCTAAATCTAAAGAATTAATTTTTTTTGGACTCTGCATTTGTTTTTATAATGGGCAACCTTGCCACAGTTGTAACAAACAGGGATTTTCCTTTTTCCCTTGTATTTGAATGATGGTTTGTCTTTTAAAAAAAATTTGGAGAATTTTTCTTTTGCCTTTTAATAAGGTTTGAATTTCTTTCTTCTGATATCATGTTTTTTCTGAGTAAAAGGCTTTGAAGGGGGTAAAGTATTAAATCCAAATTTTATCTGAGCTTCTGGGTTCAGGAGTTATTTTTATATTTTATTTCTTCTTTTAGATGGAACTAAAAATTTTCTTTAGAAGAAATTGTATCTCTGATTTTGTTATCTAATCTTAGGTGCCCAACATTGTCTCATTATAAGTGGTACAAGGATGTGTTTTTCTCACGACTACTGTCAAGAGAAGATAGTAAATCAAACCATTGGAAAGAAGAATTTATAGCTGGTTTACCACATTTATTTGCTGAAAAGGTAAAAACCAGGCTAAAAAACAAACATGGGGGACTCATTCCTTATTCTTTGTATACCTTAGGCGAGTTATCAGCAGAAATTTATGCTGAAGGTCTGGCATTATGTATAGACTTAAAACTCCGAAGGCAATTAGAAAAGCAAAGAATAACGCGGAGGAAAGAGCTAGGAGATTTTTGTAAACAATTTGGATTTAATACTTTATCCCCTTCAAAGCCTTTTACTCAGAAAAAACATGATATCAAAAGAAGGAAATTCAAACCTTATCAAAAGGCAAAAGAAAAATTCTCTAAAAAATTTTTAAAAGATAAACCATCCTTCAAATACAAGGGAAGAAGAAAAATCCTTGTTTATTACAACTGTGGCAAGGTTGGCCATTATAAAAATAAATGCAGAGTCCAAAAGAAAATTAATTCTTTAGAATTAGATGGCCATATTAAAAGGCAAATATTTGAGATACTCCAGGTTGAAAATGAAACTTCAGACTTTTCTGAGTCAGAAGAAGAAATGCTAATTGGAGAAATCAATGATGAAGATATCATTTTCAGTAGCTTTGATTCAAATTCTGATTCTGCAGATGACCCAGACAAAGAAATTGAAAATTGCCAATGCCACTATTATAAGGCAATAATAGATATGAATGGATTGAATATCAATACCCTTACAAAAGAAGAAGATTTAATTATAGACCTTATTGACAAAATAATAGACCCTGAGGCTAAAAAAGAAGCTTTAATAAAATATATCAATATGTGAAAAGCGCCATCAAGAAAACCAAATTCTTCCCTTGTCCCTACAAAAGAAGACTATAGCTTTCAAGATATTTTGAAAAGAGTATAAAATAAAACCCATACAGAGAAAGAACCTTCAATATCTGAGCTAAGATATGAAATCAATGAAATCAGAAATGAATTGATAGCCTTGAAATCAATATTCCAATATTTAGAATTAGCTCAGGATCCAATCCGAAAAACAATTGAAGAAGAAAATATAGAAGAAGAGTTTGATCAGCTGATAATTGAGCACAATATTCCCATATCACCAGAAGTTGAAGATATCCTTCCAAAGCTTGAAACTTCTAAAGCTGGTATGAATATAATAGAAAAGGTTCAAACTTGCAAATATATAAACCTAGTAGATAAAATTATAACTAAAAAATGGTTTACGAATATCACAATTATAGTACAAAACGAATACAGTTTCCAAACTACCGCACTAATAGATTCAGGTGCAGATTTAAACTTTATTAATGAAGGATTGGTACCAACCAAATATTTTAGTAAAACTACCCAAATCCTTAATACAGCAGATGGCAGTAAGATGCTGATAAACTACATGTTAACTGATACTGCGGTTTGCAGTAATGGTGTTTGCTTCAACTTTCCATTTATAATGGTGAAAGGTTTAAGCCAACCTGTTATCCTAGAGACTCCATTTCTGAATATGCTCTATTCTATAAAAATAGATGATACAGGAATAGAAACTAGCATTGAAGGGCATAAGGTAAAATTTACCTTTATTGAAAAGCCTAGAGTCCATGAGATTAACAAAATCAGAGACACAATTTATTCTAAAAAAAAAATTTGTTCCATCTAAAGAAGAAATAAAATATAAAAATATAGAAGAGAAATTGTCTCTTATGGAAACACAAAACAAAATCAAATCTTTAAAAATGAATATGGAAAATGATATATGTGCAAAAATCCCT